TTGAGAGAGGCCTCCCCACCCCAGGGCCACGTTCCTCGTGCAAGGGCGAGCACTGTTTGCCAGCACTCTGCCATGGAACCGGAGCCCAGGAAGCAAAAAGTCTTAAAAATAAATTGGGAGTCTCTACACGATGGAAGTCGATTCAAATCTTTTGATATTCCAGTTTAAATGTAACTACGGTGGTGAGGCTTTAGTTCTCTTTCTTGCAGTTCTGTTTATGGTAAAATGTCAAGAGATGATAAGGGAAGCCCCCTCTTTCCTTCCTCCTTTCCTTCCTTTCTTCCTTCCTCCTTCCCCTCCCTTCCTTCCTCCTTCCCTTCCCTTCCTTCCTTCTTCCCTCCCTCCCTTCCTTCCTTCATCCTTCCTTCCCTTCCTTCCTCCTTCTCTTCCTACACGTCTACCTTCCTTCTCTCCTCTTCCCTCCCTCCCTCCTTCCTTTCTCTTTCCTCTCACTCTTCCTCTCCCCTCCTCTTTTCCTTCCCTTTCTTTCTCTTCTTCCTTCAGTTCATCTAGCTCATCATCTAAACACCTATGGATATATTGGATATATTTATCATCTACCTTTCTAGTAATCCATTTATTCATCTACTCAGATAAGCATGTTTATGTGCAAATTTCCCCCTCTCGTTAGCACCTACCTCTGTTACTTATATAATTCAAAATAAGAGTAGACCAACTTCCCCCCAACCCCAAATACATGCCTACTTATCCTTATCAAGTTTTAAGGAAAATTACTCAATGTGTTTTCTCAGAAATAGAATCTTTAATAATAGGCTATGACTATCAATCTAAAAGATGTTCTGTCATGTATGGAGTTTCAGGAAGCTATGAGTCCTAGACTCCTTGAATGAAGACTTTCTAGAAACTTCCGTGAGTCCCTGTGGGAGTCTAAGGCACAGCTGTGTGTGTGTGTGCATTCACCTATGTCTATGAGGATCACACATGTGCACCACACATATATGTGTAAAAGTCTGTGTCTATGTACATATACCCCTACCTCAAAGACAGGAAACCAGGTCCCTGAGATAAGGCACTTTGTTGGATTTTTAGCAAGTTGTGCAAAATTCCTCTTTCACGTGGAAGAGCCTTTTCATATGCACACGCTAACCCTATGTGGTCAAAGGTACTGGAAAGTTTCCAAGGCAGAACCTCACATCAGCAGATGCCTCCCTGTGGCTGGTGGTCTTGCTTCTGAGTGCCCACGTGGTGAGGACAACCACTGTGAGTCAGATGCTCAACTATCGGGGGTCCAAGAGGATGTGCATATCTGTGTGAAAGAGGACATGTGTCCTGGGCTCCCCCAGGGCTGCCCCTGACTGTCCTGGCACATGCCTTTCCCCTCTAGTTGGGCTAGTTCTCTGCCCTGCCACAGAGGGATGCCCTCATGCCTGAGTGTTAGGAGCTGTTAGGATGTTTAGCAAGCAGGAAAGAATGAGACATGTCTGCCTTTCTGGCAAAACCACATTTCCAACAAAGCTATGTACACATCATATGGATCCCTACCCCCCTCCCCGAAAGAAGGGTGGCATAGTTCATCAAACAAAACCTTGCATCTCCCCCTCACGCCCCTCCTTACACACACACCTCCCAGTCTCGCAGCTCAAAGATGCAACCAAGACCAAGGAATGATACACAAAGAAACCAAGAGCCAATCCTGCCCCCGCCCCCAGCCCCAGGCTTAATTCAAGCAAGCCATTCGTCCAGCTCGTGTGATGAGGGACCAATTGGAGGCAGAAGGTACCAGAGACACATCAGCAACACCAAGAGACATGCAATGACCAGGCGGCATCGGCCCGCTGCCATGCTTTGATTGGATCAAGCTCAGAAAACAATCTCTTGGGAGAGCTCGGACAGTTGACGGTCCATCAATCAGAGTGAGATCACAAACAAAGATTAGGGGTGTGGGGGGGGCGGGGTTGTCCCCGTGCTTACCGAATGTTTCCTAAGTTTGAGAAAAGATGTTTGCTTAGCCCCATGGGTGGCATCCATGAGACTGAAACATAACCTAGTAGGGTCAGGGGGGTGATCTCAGACCACACCACAGGGTCTTCCTTCTGGAGGTCAGCGTTTGGAAGCTCTCAGGGTGCTCTGAGATGGTCAGCATGTGGTCATTTAACCAAGAAGATGGTGAAAGGGATTGGCCAGGGGCCTGTCAAGCACCCACGGACAGAGCTGAGGCTCTGGGAGCTCGCTGCTTTCCAAAGGTCTCTGAATCTTTCATTTCATGTGTGCTGATAAAGGTATCATTCTACCCACCGGGGCCATCAAATCACTTTTAAGATAGCTGAGGGGGGTGGGGAATCTCATCCGTCGGGGCAACTTCATAGCAGTTTCACCTCTGATCAAACTGGATGCCAGTTGAGTTGGACTCAAACATTCTCACCTTCTGCTGCTCTTACTTCCTAGCTGGGAGTCATTTCTTGGGGTTTAGAAGCCCTCCCTGTCGTCTTGCCTATCTCCCAGTGAATGGTGGCTACTGGGATTGGGTCAAAATAGGTTCTGGCGTTGGAGACCTCTTCAGCCTAGAGTCCAAGTTCTTGGGGGAAATTGGACATCTGACCCAGGTGTGCAGCCTAAGGAGGTCTTCCATCCCTTCTGTTGTATACTAAAACTCAAAGGAAGCACCACCTTTTCATAAATACACTTCACCAGTCACACCCGAGATATCATGCTTTAAAGATGGCCTTCTGGTCACTTCCCTACTGCCGCATTTACAGCCATGCATTGCAATTTCACATGGTCAGTGTCTTGCTTATAATCAAGCTAAGTAGGTCTAGCAATCAATTTCCACAGCAACCACCCAGATCTAAAGTGCACATTTCTTTAATGAACAGCAAGAGGCCAATTATATGGACACAAATATACTTAGTTGGTTTCTTCAACTGAAGCTCTTATGCTCAGGTGGAATTGCAGATTGAGATTTTCCAATCCAAGAACTAGGGCAGTTTTCCAAGGAGGACATGTTGCCAATGAAGAATTGTAACGCTATCAAAATCACAGATTTCGTACGTCTGTTTGCATATGCGGGACCCCCAAATGCAACAAAACTTTAACTTAATTGTTAGATGGACACACACAAAGATGGCTAGATTCTCAAGTAATTCTATCTAAGGATCGGATTATACATTATTTATTTTTTCCAAATGTCTAGATTAGTATTATGGAAGAAAGCAATTTAAATGATATCTTTGCAATCAACCTTTTTTCAACTCGAGGAGAGGCACATTTATACTGAGAAGCAAGATAAAAATCCAAAGAAATAAATCCATTTAAGATTCTTATAATTATAGAGCAGGCCAAAGTTACTATGATGATAATTATAGACAAAGTGGGTGTTTGAGAATTTAGCATCTAGAGATATTTTCATAAAAATAATTAAGGGTTGGAGCTGAACCTTCATCACAACGGACACTTGGAGAAATGTGTCGCGTGCAGAATTTAATCGCATTAGCGCCTTTTCATTTGTAGAATGATCTCAAGTATTTCCAGATTGTCATCATTTTTATTAGCCTTATTGACCTCACAATTTTCCTAATCCAATGTCAGTGTCTTGAAGAGAGCATCAGCCAGAAAGTCTGCTTTGAATCTCGGCCCCTGATCTTTAGAACTGTGTCTTCACCATCTTTGGGCTTTTCTGGGGTGCGGGGGTGGGGGGTCTCCCTGCAGGTTGGGAAGCCTATCCAGGCGATTTCTAAGCACACCACCACCAGGCCTGTGGACCGCAAGAAAGCAGCTCTCCTATCCCTTAGCATGCACCATTTATCACAAATTTCAGTACCAGGAGGGTTGCAAAGTGCAGCTTTTGGGGGGCTTATTGGTTTGTAGGATGCCACCGCAGAACTGGCGGCGCAAAGGAGGGAACCACACACCCCGTGAGAAATGGAATGGAATTGCAGAGAAAGCACAACATAGCAAAAATCGGGACGCCCCCTCCCCCCATCACAGCGGGACAGGAAGAGAGCCCCCAGCTGCCAACCGGCTCATTCCCAGGTCCAATCCACGCCTCCTTACCTGTCTCACAGAGCATGCCTCAGCCACACATGCAAAGTGTTGTCAGTACTGTTTTATTCATGAGACGTATTTTTAAATGGAAGGAGTCATTACCCAAAACAAGCTCCTCGGTGACATTTGTGCATGCAAGCGTCTGGACATCCACATTTAGGTCCCTCCAAAGACCAAGCCAACGACTTGCATTCAAGATGGAAACACACTTTTTTTTTTTTTTTGTCAAGGCACCTAGACAGGAATAGCTGTAGCTTGCCATTTCAAGAACCGAGTTGTCTGTTCAGCCTGGGTGATGGGTAATAACCACTTCCCCAACCCCACCCCCCCAGCACCCAAACTTCACTTGTGCATTTCTAGAACCCCTTTCTGTCCCTTCCTCTAGCCAGTCTGAACGTGTGGTGCACAATCAAAGTTGGCTTATGGCGGGAGGAGGGGTGGGGATGGGGGGGGTGGATCGGGAAGGAGCCCTAGGCATTGCTGAAACAGAAGGAACAGACTTAGGGATGCCAGGTGTGACTCTCGCCTTCCTTGTTTGGAACTTAAACTACCATGGACGGAAATGCTTTCCTGGGTGCAAAAAAAAAAAAAAATAGAAAATCTGTCCACGATAAAGAGGGAAGGAAAATGGGGTGCTGGAAATTGGGGAAGGTCTGCAGGATCCTTCCTTGGATGCAACAAGGGCTTGCAAAGCCAGCCATCTGCGTGGGCACACACAGACACACACAGAACCGTCTCTCCACGGGGAATTGGGAGATCTTAAAATGGGGGGTGTGTGTGTGCATTGGCTTTTCCTTTGCCTTTCAGCAGCAGAGTTGGGAGGGGAACTGGGCTGAGCCGTTTCCCCCTCTGTCTATGACCCCCGGACCCTAACTTGTGAGTGCTGCCTCCTCCTCACAGCCATCATGCTTTTGCCCCGAGACCAGACAAGAATATCCACGGGTCCCACCAGCTAAGTTCCTTGGCAGGTAGCGAAACACAAGAAGGAGGGTCCTTACCTGTCACTGTAGGCGGCGGCGGTGGCAGGGGTGGGCTGGGCGTAGCGGTAAGCAGCGTAGCCACCCTGCAACGCAAGGAGAAACAGGACTTAGGCCCACGGGCACCCCACGGGAGGGCCACGCCGGAAGAGCGGTCACCCACATCTACCGATCTCAAAGCGGAGGTTAACGAGAGCCAGGTGATCAGGAGGAAGTAGAAAAAGGCAGAGAGAGGAGAAGCCTGGGTGGGTGTTAAACGTTAGCAGGTGGGAAAGCTTCTCGGGGGTGGGCAGGAGACGCCCTTTGAAAAAAGCCACAGATGTTTCGTGGATGTTAATAATGATTATCTAGGGCCAGGGAGGATTCCTGGGACACTGAAACGCTCCACTTGGCTGAACTTTCCAGATTTTCAAAACAGCGTATGGCTCTACCCTCACGGATTCAGGATGCCTTTGTATTTTATCCAAACGGGCTTTGATTGCTTTCTTCAAAAATAAAGGTGGCCCTCACACCTCACACGGCCTGCCTGCCTGCCTTTCCTTTCCTTTCTCAGGTATGAAGATATGGTGACCACTCTGTACCCTGCAGCTGGAGGATGACCAGCAGAATCATCCAGACGGCCCATGGCTTGCCACGTGTGACATCACGCTTAAAAGATACTGCACCTTATCATTTCGTTTGGGCTGCAGACATTACCCAGGGTTCAGAAGGGGGAATTTGGGTGTGAAGAAATAATACAGTCTTCTAATTTGTAAATAAAATCATTAGGAGAGAAAAAAATCTGAAAAATAATTAACATTTAGTTGAGTGCACCAGTAATTGCAATTGTTCAATTAAGCAGAGGACAAGCAAATGGGCATATTCAGAAGGAATTGTGTTCAGCCGAGCATTGATTAGCAAACTGTGAAAATAACAGCTTCTTGCCCAGCAGACCACAGCGATACATCAACCACTGTTGAATGATCTCAGCACAATTAACAAACGGGATCCGGGACCCGTGGATAACTCCAGGAACCTTTAGGTTCTAATTAGAATGCACCATCCCATCATGCTCTGGGGTCACAGTTCTCACCCTCACCAGAAAGAGTAACTCAAAACAGACTGGGAAACAGAAGGCAAAATGGCAGCTGTGTCCGGGGCATCTGTGGGTATAATTTGGAGTGTCAGTCGGGTTTTCTACCTGAATTCCTGAATTCCCCTTGTGAGGTAAATCAAGTGTTGGATGAGGAAACATCAAAAAGCATCCTTCAAGGTAGAAGGAAGTTGCTTTCTATCACTGAAAGCTAGCCTCTTATAGCTGCCCTCACTTCCAAAGTGCCAAATGTAGTTGATCCTTTTCTAAGTTTGTGCCACGTCTGCCCCGGCGAGAACGTGTCCTTATAGAAATCTCCAACCTCCGGGGGCCAGCATTTAAAAAATGTTCCCCTGGAAAAACAATGGGAAGTTTTGAGGAAAAAATGGGGGTGCGGGGGGTCAACGGAGGACACCAGCTGGTGTCGCAAACACCCTGTTCTCTAATTAGGAACAGGGAGGTGTTGGGAGCCTGTTGTCATTTCAGCACCAAGCCCAAGATACAGACTGACGGGCTGAGGGGAAATGAGGTCACCAGATTTCTGGAGATTTCTTTTCTCAGCCTGCCTTGCTCCTCGGCGTTCACTGCAGCTAGAAAGACACAGGTGTGTGGGCACGCAGAACAAACTTAACGAGGGAGGGAGGGGTTGGCCTTGGCATGGTGATTGCTAACGGATATCAGCTGCCACAGTTGAAGCTTTGTTTGGAGAACACACATACACACACACATACAGCACACACACAAACACAAATGTGTGTGTCCAGGATTTTTATTTTTAACCTCACTCCCAGAATTCAAAACTAAGGGGCAAAAATTAAAAAACGCAATAAAGGTCTCACAGAGGTATCTGCATCCAGGACCATGCAAGATCAATGCTGACTCGGTGACTGTGAATTTGATGCCGCAGAGGTGTTTAGCAACCCTGCTGATACCCTGTGTTTGCATGCCTCATGTCTCTCCTGGTTCTGCACCAGCTTCCATCCGCACACGCAGGTTGTGAGGCTGACGAAGTGGAAGAAACAGCCGCAGTGCAAGGAAAGGGGGCGAGTGCACAGACGCCTCACGGCTGGCTCGGGGGAAGATAAAACGGGCGCCTGTGTGCCTGCAGCCTTCTGCTTCACAGCTGTGCTCTCTACGAAGCCCAAGACAGGACTGGGGGGCTCTCCCTGCTCATGTCCCTTTAGAGTCACGGGTCCTAGTGGCCCAAGTCCTGACTCTGCTATTTAGAACTTGGCTTGCCAGCCTCATGGAGCCAAAGATCTCAGCATCAAAGTATCCTTGGCTGGCACCTGTGAGCCCAAGGAGAGACTGGAGAGGTAAGCAACTGCCTCCTGGCTGTGCCTGTGGGTGTCTGATGGCCAAGGGGGACATTTACTCCATCTCTGTGCGGCCCAACACACAGCCCACTCGTCCTAAATGACTTGAAATGTGGCTGGTATGTCGAACTCAATGTTCAGTGTCTGTCACTGGAGGGCACCTAAGACTCTGTGTCCATTCCCAGTGTGGGCGTGTTCTGTGTCGGGTTGGGGCAGAGTGTCTAATGATCCCCAAAACACTCTTGGGGGTGAGGGTGGTTCCCCGATCACAGCTGAGTCTTGGAAAGTCTCTATTTGTTCTCTAAGAAAGTCTCTATTCTATTTGTCTAGGAAATGATGCTGGGGGTAGGGGCATCCTGGGGTCTGTGTGAACTTAGTGGGTAGAAAATGACCCAGAATTCAAGCCATTTTCCGGCCTTTCTAACAGGGAAGAACCAGCACTGGCAGGGATCTGGGCAGGTGCAACCCACTAGCCCCGTTCCACGGATTGGACTCCAGCTCTGTTCTTCTGAAAGGGCCCTGCAAGCCCTTTGGGGGAAAAAAGCTCGCGATGGGGTGTTGACAATTGGACTCTCGTCCCTGCAACAGCCCCAGAGAAAATGAATGGTGCCCCCGCAACTCTCTGCGTCTCGCTCATAGGTCTGTCTGCCTGCTCTGTGCAACGTGAGCTATAGAGTGATCTGGGCCCAGACACATTTCCAATAGCCTTGGCAGTGCCCCGAGATGCACTGGGCGTGGCCCTCCATCATCCTAGTCCAAGCTCACCTGCTGTGAAATGCTCCTTTGTGAGTGAGATGACCCCTGACTGACTCTGACAGTCTGATGTGGGGGTGGGGGGAGTCACCCCGATGAAGCCCTAATGTTGGTCCACTTGAGTCATCTTAAAGCTAGGTGGGGGCAGAGCAGGGTCCGGGTGAGGGAGGGTTCTGGGATCAAAGAGGAAATGCTGAATGGAACAAAAGGGCAGCAGTAGGGGCCTCTGTGAAGCTTCTGGTGAACGCTGGTGAGGCGTGTGCACATGTCCCACTCTGTGCTGAGTGGCATAAGGACAGCACAGCTGGGACATGTGAGGGGAGTTTGGGGTGATCTAACATGCAGCTTAGGAAGGGAGGTGGAGTTTGGGTAGGCTGATGGAGATGTGGGTGGGAGGGATAGTGAGGGTGTGTGTGAGGGTGTGTGTGTGTGTGTGTGTGTGTGTGTGTGTGTGTGTTTCCTTTGCACAAGAGTAAAGCAGCAATGGGCCATTCACCAAGATTTCCTCTGTGCTCAAGCAAGCCTAGGAGCTTTCTGGGCAAAATAGGTGCTTTGGCATCTGACAATTTTTGTTCACTCAAATGAACATGAACATTTGCAAAAAGAAAAAAGCGAGAGAGAGAGATTTAACTATAAAGCATTCCTCACTAATTTATCTGGATAGCACATGGGTCTTAATTCTTTTGTCCTCTGCGAGGCCCCAGTGTTCCTTTCTTCTATTACATTTCTTATTTAAAACTTGATTAATTCTCACAGCTAAATCAATGTACTTTCTTAATTGATTTAATACCAAGCAGAGATGAGAATATTAGGCTATTGGAAAAACCATGTAATGAAACTTTCACTGATGGACCTTAACTTTGACATTTTTTCCCCGTTTAAAAGGTTAAGTTGTTGGTCATCGACCAGACTTGAGGACTCAACCAACTGTACCCTAAGAGTTGGGTTGGCTTCCTTATTTCCCAATAAACTTGTTGTTCTGGAGGCTGCTTCAGCAGTAAGAGACAGGTTCAAACACTACAGTAATGCAATGCTTGTCTAATAAATTTATTAGAAGTTCCCAGGTTATATTAGCTATTCTGACCCCTAATGATATATCACAGGAAGGTCTGGATTTAACCGTGCCTGCTGGCTTCAGGAGCTTATTAGAAATTGTCTCAGACAACTGGTTCAATAACATCATCTAATTCTTTTCCCAAACTTACATCCACCAAGTCAGGTTATATTTTAAGGAGAAAAGTTCACCACCAACCTATACCTCTATTTTGATATACTCTTGAGTTAACAAAGCTCCTGACTATTGCCTATGGATCTCAGTCACGAAAAAGTCCATGTCATGTGACATATACTGACATTTCCTTGGAAGGATATGTCCTAAGGGCATATCGGCAGAAGATGGGACATTGTTTAAGGAGAACCTTCTTTCATCTGGGAGAACTGTCATCAAAACTGGAAAATTCAGTTAAGTCTTTTCTCCTTCTGTAACAGAGACCCTCAACCCTCCCGGAAATCATCTGGTTAGTAGAATTTCAGAGCAAACCCACAGTCATAGAGAGGAGTAAGTCTCCACCAGGCAGGAATTCATACCTGTAGCAATTTATTGCCAAACACAGGCTCTTGATACACTACTCTATAAGGAAACAGAAATGTAATGTTTTCAATGCAAAAATGAAATAAATAAAGAAAATGCATAAGTCACACACATTCCCGAGCAATTCATTTACAAGTTTGCATCTTACCTTTCCCGAGACCCAAAGGTGACCCAGCAAAGACCCCAAAGAGGAACGTGGGCAAACCCATGCATCACCCATCTTTGGAGTTGGAATCAGCAAAGCTGAATGGGGTAGGGAAGGGGAGCCAGCTGGGTTATTATGATTGTGTTAGAATCTGTGTTTCTTTTTAAAGAAGAAAACGGGGTCCTTCCATGGCTTCTTACTCTGTGTGTCTATCCTAACAACTCAAGTGAATGGTTTCAAATCTCGTGCTTCAGCCCCCAAGTTATTCTTTGAAATATTGGAGGATTTCACGTTGACACCTAGGTATGGAGTCTGTACCCATAGCTGAAACCCAAACCCTATCAACCCTTTCTTACTTTATTTTCCAGATTTCATGTTATCAAAATATAGGAAGCACAGTAAGTAAATTCGGTAAGTCAATTCCATCAAAGCTTCCAAGGCAACTTGGATTAGATGTGCCAAGAAAAACTAGGGCGTGTGTGTGTGTGTGTGTGTGTGTGTGTGTGTGTGTCCATGCTGAACAAAGCTGTGGTTCAAAGGTCATAAACATCGCCCTCCTTCCTTCAAGCCCCACTTGGACATGAACTCAGTCGAACCGTGAGCAGAGGGAAAGCAAGTTTGGAAGCGAGAGTGATTCATGGGCTTATCGTTCAGGTGGAAGTTCTCACTTCCAGGGAAGAAATCTATGTGAGGAAGAGACTTGGGGACCTGTTCTGCAGTTATAGATGTGTATGTATGTGCATATATAAATACCTATATATGCATACACAAGTATACCGACATACATATACATGCATAGATGGATATATTTCCTTTGGGGAGGGGCTTGGGTTTTGGCCACACCCAGTGGTGCTCAGGATTTACTTCTGGCTCTGCACTCAGGGATCACTCCTGGTGGTGCTAGGGGGACCCTATGAGGTGGCAGGAGGCAAAACCATCTTGGTCCTGTGCAAGGCCTTACCTGTACTATCTCCCTGGCCAATACATAAATCTACTTTACCTTCAGTAGTCCGATTGTCCTTTCTGATTTAATTTAACCTAATCTCCCTAAAGAGCTCACATGCAAGCTTAGGGACCAATGCCCACTATAGTGTCTGCTTCTCTCTCTTTTTCTCCACGGAGCTGCTCTCCTCCCACGTTCCCGCTGCAGGTCCAAGTCCTCAGCTTGATCCTTGGTCCCACACAGTTCCCTGAGCACCACTGGGTTAGACCCCAAGAGCACAAGCACCTGGACACCTCCAGGCGTGGCCCCTTAGGACCTGAGGTGGAGGCTGAGCCGCAGGAAGAGCCCCTTGCCGGGTTCCTGTCCTGGGACCTCCCAGCCTCCTCCCTGAGCCCCAGCACCCAGCACCAGCACTGGTGGATGTCACCCTCGTGATCCCTGAGCATCGCTGGACAAACAGAATATCAAAGGTCTGGGCAGAAAGTCTGGGGAGAGCGATTGGCTCCTGCTTGAGAGAAGGGTGGGCTGATGGGTGGGAGAGGGATGCAAGCAGGAGAGGGATTGGCTCCTGCCCCAGAGGGAAGGGCGGACTGATGGCTGATTGGCTCCTGCCCCAGAGGGAAGGGCGGACTGATGGCTGATTGGCTCCTGCTCCAGCGAGAAGGGCGGACTGATGGCTGATTGGCTCCTCCCCAGAGAGAAGGGCGGGCTGATGGCTGGGCCAGGGATGCAGCAGAAGATTTGTTCAGTTTAGGGGCAATCACTGTTCCATCAGCCTCAGCTACTCTGAGAACAGAACCGAAGTTCTCTATTGAGAGAGCCGTAGTTGGCCTCAAATTCCAAGCGATTGAGAAGGAAAACACAAACCAAAAAGAGCCGCTACCTGACAATTTTTCAGTTATTCAAAATTCAAAAGGGAGAATCTGGCATGCGTCTGTCCTGTTCTCTGGCAAGAGGCATCTAAGCCCTGGCTTTGGCTTTAGCTGTGAAGCCGACTCTCAAATCACACGTTCAAGTCCAGGACCTTTGATGGAAGAAAGGCTTAACTCATGTGGTCTTTACTCATATAAATAAAAGGGGCAGAGGGCTGGGGGGAGGACCCCAGGAACGCCCTCAGGAGGACATTTCTGCCTGGCACATGAGTCTAGGGCTTGAACCGGGCCCAGGAATAAGGGGAACCAGGGTGTGAATAAAGGCTGAATGCTCAGGTGGGAACTTACCTGACATGTTGTCAAGTGTAGCTTTTTGCCCAGATCGTTAACAGAGTGAGAAACAGAAAAATCTTTCTAGGGCTACTGTGTTAAATAAGTAAATGTATATATTTTTCTTTTTTTGGGGGGGGGCACACCCAGTGGTACTCAGGGATCACTGCTGATGGGGCTGGGGATACCCTATGGAGTGCAGGGTGTGGAATCCGGGTTGGGCATGATGACGGTAAGTGCCTTCACCCCTGTACTCTTCCCAGCCTCATTAAAGACGTTTCACAAGAAAAGATCAAGCTGTTGGCCATCCATATCTCCTTCCTCTCTCTATAGCAGCTCAGGGCAGCTGCGCCCCCAGGACAATGCTGAAAACACCCAGAATACTGGAGCGAAAGCTCTAGAGAAGTTCTCAGGTGCAGGTGTGGAGAGAGCTACCCTTGAAAGACCTTTGAGGAAAAAGCTGTATTGTTTGTTTGTGGGTGTGCACTCTGTGGGAATTTCTTGCTCAGGCTGTCCGGGACCTCCCCGCCAGGAGGGGGAGCTGGACCATGGCTGCCCATCCAGGGCTTCCCAGCAAACTTGGAAACAGAATAGCTCGGGAAGCAAAGAATCCGCATGCACTGTTAATGGGTACTTACATAAATGTCTGCACCATAAAATCCATCCTGGTACACAACACTGCAAGGGCACACACACAAAGAGAAACATCCGTGTTAGTGCAACTCCCCCATGCAGCACACCAGCCCCCGCCAGTCGCCTGTCGGCACGCACCCAGGGCAAGTCTGCACAGCACTTAAGGAGGTTGGAGGAGACGGAGAAAATCAGGCTGGGGGCTGGTGAGGGCGCAGAATCAGCCCCTCTCCAGGCAGGGGATGGCATACCAGGCAGCCTCCTCTATGGCAGGGGGCAGGGGGCCAGGGTTCGAAGAGCAAGGGGGTTACTCTCGTGGCCTCTGCAGATGGGATGATCAGACTCAGCATTCGGTCGATCCGTGGCTCCCCGCCCCAGCCCACACCCCCGAATCCTTGGCGTGCACTGGTGTCCTGGACAAGGCAGGGTTCGGGTTATTTTGTTGTTGTTCACGAATTCACTACGGACGGTCACCTCCGTAGGGGGGACTTGGTGACTTGCTTCCAAGCCGACTCACTTCTGTTCTCTTCCACGCACCGTGAGTCAGTTCTCTGGGCCCCACTCCAGGGTCCAGCGTCGAGAGAGGGTTTCTTATTAGCCCCTGTGAGGAAGGACGTGCAGGGGGTAGGGGGGGTGGAAGTGTGTGCACGTGTGTATGTGTGTGTGCAGTGACTATTGGGCACATATATGGGAGACACGTGAGTAGCATAACTGTGCACACGCCCCCTCTGAGTGTGTCCCTTTGCACACGCTGGCGTGTGTGCACACATGAACAAGCACATGCACAGCCCGTGTGCACAAATGTGTATGTATGTATGGGGGTAACCAAGAAGCCTGGGGATGTTTCGGCCATGGGGCCACACGCAGCGATGATCTGGGGCTTCTGCCAGGTCGGTGCAGGGGGCTGTGTGGCCCCGGAAGTAAGGGCTCTCCCCCACAGAGCATCTGCTCCGGTCCTTTGAGTGACAATAGGCCCCCGGCCATGGCACCCAGGTGCGGACGGCTGCACTCGGCAGGCCTCTCTCTTGGCTTGAACACGGACCTGCTCAGTGCTCTCCTCGCCATCAGAGTCACTTCTCCAGAGAGGGAAGATCCCAGAATTCTCCAGAAACATCCTGTGTAGCTTGAGTGAAGAAGCCAGGACAAGCCGCTCACGGCCGTGTGGCTGTGGGCCAGCGAGGGCCAGTCCCTGAGCGTAGAGACCATGAAGGAGGCTCCCCGGCGGCCTCTGTGCGGATCAGAGGGTCTCTTTGGTGCACAAATGCCAGTTTTCCAAAGGATGGCTGCTGCTCTGAGTCACCTGCCCCTGGGAACCAGGGGCCTTACAGTGATTTATGACTCCGGCCAAGGCCCACTGAGCCCCGGCATGGAGGGAGCCGGTTCTACTGGAAGCAGGACCTGGATCATTCAGGATTTAGCGTGGGGTTGGGCGGGGGGGACCCACATGTCAAGCAGGCAGAGGAGGAGATGGAGGAGGGGAGGGAGGAAGAGGGGAGAAAGAAGAGGCAGGAGGAGGAGGAGGAGAAGGAGAGGGAAGGCACCTTAGCACACGCACAATCGCACACAGACCGGAGACACACAGGCGGTGGGTGAATCCCGGCTGACTGCCTCCAGCCAACTACCATCATCCTCAAAACCAGGGTGATGGGCCGCTGCCCCAACCCCAGGAGGGTGCCGGAACTGCCCTCAGCCCTGTTCCTGCAGAGCCCAAAGGCTCCCCACTTGCCAAGAAGCAGAAAAACCTTCCCAGACACCAGATGAGTTTTGGGTCTTCCTGTGACGACCCCAAATCAAAGGATAGTGTTGGGTGGGGGTCAGAGGGCAGAACTGTCTCAGTCAACCACACCAGGGGCTGGGGAGCGGAGTGAGCATGAGTCCAGCTGGGCCAGAACCCCCAAACTGATGCCCAGATCACACACCCTCCCAAACTGGGGTCTCTGCTGGAGGCAGGAGAAGGTGGCCTGGGCCAGGCTGGTGGGCAAGTGCCATGCTCTCGAGAGGCCTGCAGGGTGGGTATTAGCTGGGGAGCCCTGGGGGCAGGGTCGCTTGCAGCAGTGACACCCTGCCATTGCTCTCAACATCCAGGCACTGCTGGGTGGGCCTCAGGCAACGGGACATGTGGAGTTCTTGTCCAGCCCATAAAGCCACCTGTTGCTTCTCCTAAGCCACCAGCCATCACGAAAGTGCAATTTGACAATATGGCACCCTGTCCAGAGCCTCCGTTGATGGTCAGTCTCAGTTCTGGTCTGGGCACTGTCATTATCCCCAGAAAGTCTCCCAAAGGCCCCAGAAGGGGAATGTTCTGGCTGTTTCTTTACACCAAAGGAGCATTGGAGAGGGAGAGGGAGAGAGAGAGAGAGAGAGAGAGAGAGAGAGAGAGACAGACAGACAGACAGAGACAGACAGAGACAGAGACAGAGAGAGACAGAGACAGTCAGAGACAGAGATAGACAGACAGAGAGAGACAGAGACAGAGAGAGAGAGAGACAAGAGAGAGAAGAGACAGACAGAGAGAGGGCGAGGTCTACCTCCACCGGGGTTCTACAGTACCCACAGCCCGGCTCTGACAGCTCAGCGAGGCATCTGGGGCGAGTCCAGCTTGAGGCTGCCCAGGGGCTGGGAGTCCCACATCCCGGACGGGGCTCAAAGAACCTGCAAGCTTGAACACAGGCCATGGCCATCACTCTGGGGCCAGGAGCAGCACAGACCCGGCTGAGACAAGGTCAGGCCCACTTCTGAGGCCCTCTTCTGCCTACTGAAAGGCACTTTAAAGCTTTCTGCTCGTTTCTGAGCCTTATTCAAGTCCCATAATGCAGGTGCTCGGGTGGGAGAGCCCGCCCCGTGGGCAGAAGCCCAGTACGTGGCTCTGGGTGGAAGAACCGAGGGCATTCACGAGCAGGGCCATCCCCTGTGGACCGAGGAGGTCTGGCCAGCCAGGCCCAGGGAAGGTACTGCATGTCAATCACAGCCTCTGCAATAGGCTTTTGCCAGAACAAAATGCAAATGCACGTCTCATTTTCTTAGGAAGGTAATAACATCAGGACGGTTAAATATTTGGACGGTGGCATGCAGGGAATGATTGCAGTAGAGCCGATGAGTTAACTTAGAAAAAAAAAATCAAAATAAAAAAGGGGAAAGGATTGGCTGCCCCAGCTTTGGAATCTGTGCGATTCCCAGGTTTTCCGAGCACCAACATCTTCTTAAAGGCAAGGGGATTGCAAACTGTTTCACCTTTTCAACCCTTCCAATCTGGGAAAGAAAGGACAGTTTTGATGGATTTCAATTTCAGTTAAAAACCAATGCTGGTTTTTAAGAACTCTCCACAGCGACCCAGACATGTGTAGAGAAACAGGCGTGTGTGTGTGTGTGTGTCCGAGAGAAAGTTGGTGTTTCACTAGGATGGTCCGAGGCAGGCTGAGTTCATGGCTGGAATTGTTGCTGAGGCTCTTCGTCTGGGACCCCTGGTGAAGAATGAAGCTTTGGGTTGGCCGCTAGCACCGCCTTCCCTTGGGCAGCTCTGGGGGAGGAAGCTTGTCCACTAGGTGAGGTGACCTCTTAGCAGAGAGGGGCTGGGGTCCTTACAGCACGCGGTTGCCTCATGGCAGGCCGGGAGATGAGGGGCCCAGGTTGGAATCTGTTGCTTCTCTCGCCAGATGGGTCCTGTAGGTGCCTCTGCTGATTTCCATAGCATCCCCCCACCCCCCATGGCACCAGGGTGAACCATGAGCTCCCAGGAGCCCCTGCCCAACCTTAAGAATCTTCCCACCAAGGTCTTGTTTGCACCCAGAGTCCTTGGAGTGGCGAAGCAGGGGCTGGGCCAAGAGCCACCCATGGACCCCACTGGAGGAAAGATTTAGGCTGAGCCGGATGGCTTCCCCCAGAGGCCTGTGGGGGGACCAGCAGAAACAGGAAGCTCTTGCTGGTCCTCGTCCACCTGCGCTGTGGAGCAGACTCTGGCCTCCTCCACGTTCCCCCGCCAAGCCCGGCCTCTCTCCTCTCTGCTCTTTTCCTCCCCCTGCTGACTCCCCAGGCCCCCTCCTGCAACATCAGTCGCACAAGCCAGAGAACAGGGTCACCATCGCTGTGGTGTGGGGGTCCCACAATGTCACTGGAGCTGGCAAAGCATCCGGCAGGGCATCCTGGTAGCCTGCTGGAATCTTCTTTTTCTCTTTTTTGGGCCATACTCAGCAGTGCTCAGGATTCACTCCTGGCTCTGACTTAGGGATCACTCCTGGCAGGCGAGCATGTGAGTCGGGGGTGGTGGGGCGGGGGGTAGGGGAGGGGGATCGAACCCAGGGCAGCGACCTATAAGGCAAGCATCTTAACCCCCCTCTACCCCTCTACCAACTCCTTCTTTCTTTCTTTCTTTCTTTCTTTCTTTCTTTCTTTCTTTCTTTCTTTCTTTCTTTCCCTTTCTTTCTCTTTCTTTCTTTCTTTCTTTCTTTCTTTTTTTCTTTCTTTTTCTTTCTTTCTTTCCTCCCTCCCTCCCTCCCTCCCTCCCTCCCTCCCTCTCTTTCTTTCTTTCTTTCTTTCTTTTCTCTCTCTCTCTCTCTCTCTCTCTCTCTCTCTTTCTTTCTTTCTTGTCCACACCCAGTGATGCTCAGGGGTTCCTCCCAGCTCTGCATTCAGGAATTACTCCTGGTAATGCTCGGGGGACCCTATGGGATACTGGGAATTGAACCCGGGTCAGTTGCGTGCAAGGCAAATGCCCTCCCCACTGTGTTATCGCTCCGGCCCCCAACTAGTACATCTTATCACAGTGGTGTGAGAGAGATGCCTGGCCTGGCGGTTTCATGAAATATGGGACCATGACAGGGAGTGACCAGGCAGACCCCAGGGCACAGCCCCTTAGCCCCCCAGTCCTGTGTGGGCCCACGGACTTAAAGGGCAGCATCTGTCAGGGATCTAAACAGTGTGGAAGACAGGCGGTTGTGGCAAGTGTGGCTTTTGTGTTCCTGTGGTCATCCGGCAGCGTAGATGCTCAGTTTGTCATCCTGGCCAAGATAGTCAGGAGCCTTGCGGGACGCCGAGAGAACCATCTCCAGAGCAGTCCCCATACATGGGTTCCCGGGTCCGAGACCAGGTCTCTGCCCACATGGGAAGTGAAGACGCCAGGTCCCCTCAAGATCCTCAGTGACAGTGGGCAGGTCATTCTGAGCCTTAGGAAGTCGTTCACACGGAAGAGGCCATGGAGCTTCATGTCCATTTCTTTCTGCTCCATCTGGAGCGATAGCACAGTGGTAGGGCGTTTGCCTTACAAGCGGCCAACATGGCCGACCCGAGTTCGATTCCTCCGCCCCTCTCGGAGAGCCCGGCAAGCTACCCATGATGTACTCGATATGCCAAACACAGTAACAACAAGTCTCATGATGGAGACATTACTGGGCCCGCTCGAGCAAATCGAAGAACAACGGGAGGACCGTGACTGTGACCGTGACCATCTCAATGGAGACTGTGCAGCTACGTCTTCCAAAGGGCAGCACCGTCCACCAGCCAAGAGAAGACGACAGATTCAGACATGTACATGCAACTCTGGCATCTTGACTTCTGAGGGTTGAGTTAGAGGTTCCACGAACCTTGAGGGCAACAGGAGTTTGTTCTCCTCCTCCTTCGAAGCTCGTTCTGTGGCCTCAGGAACACACATGTTTATCCCTGCACCTTGTGGATCTATGAATGGGGCCAGCACGGCAGGGCTGACTCTCATGCCTGTGTTTGCCAAGATTTTTTGAAGACTGCGGAGGAAGTACCCCAACCCTACCGGTTCAGCTACAGGAAGCTTGAACCGGTACAGACAGGGGCTCGGAGGGGAAAGGGAGAATTTAGGGCCTATTTATCTCTGGCTTATGCTTATTCACCACCTTTAAGGTGTAAACAACTTCTTCTACTGTTGGTCACTGAGAAGCATTGACCCCAAGTCTACAATAATGTGATAAACGATGGTGTTATCTTCCTTCTCTCTTTCTCTCCCTTCCTGCTGATTCCCGCCAGAGAAGTGTTCCGTCTTCACGGTCTCTTCCAACCCTTGGCTGTGAGACTTCACAAGCTCTACTTTGGAATGATGAGATATGAATAAATAATGGTGGTGGTGGGGAGGGTTGGGGGAAGAGTGTCTTCTTTTCTCATCAGTCTAATAGAATGATGATCGAGGCTAATTCAGCTTTTCTACGAGAGAGTTACGAGGCACGGGGCAATGAAAACATTCATTTAGCCCTGAAGACAGCCACGTTCTTTCCACAGCCCATAGATCACTCACTGCCCGGGGCCATCAGGTGCCTCTCCTTTCTGGGCAGAGCTGAGACCCCCGAGAAGCAGTAACACTGAGATTTGGGGCCTGGTCACTGGTGCTGAGGGATGTGAGTGTCCACAAAGTGCGCCACCTGGCTTCCCTCAGTCAAGAGCCAGTCCACCTCTCATGTGGATGCGATCACCAAAACCATCGCAGACATCCCCGAAGTCCCCTCAGCTCATCAATCCCCACTCTGACCCCTGCAAGTCCACTCCACTCCCTTAGAGACTTCTTCCTGATTCTGGGGAGCCAGAATGTTCTAGAACATTCTTAGGAGGATCTAAACAAGAGAGAGGGCACCATTTCCAGATCACAGTGTTCCAAAAAAAAAAAAAAGACATCACCATTCTTACTGCCAAACGCTGCCTGCCATTCCCAAATATTCAGTTGGCAACGCCAAAGCCCATGCACAGACAGACCAAGCTGGCCGGGGGTGCACATCCTTTGCACATTCCTGGGGGAGAGCAAGGAGGAAGGACAAAGGTGACTTTGGAAAAACCCAACCCCAAGGAGCCAATTCCAAGGCCCTTGGGCTCTCGAGCGTTTCCACTCGCTTTCCCCTCTAATTTCCTCTTCTCAGCCACAGGCTCATCAACCTGGAAGTGCAAGACGGCTCGGGGGAGGGGGCGGGCAGGAGCCAGACCACCCCAGCGATTTTGACGTCTGTGCTGCGCCTCCTGTCCCCCACACGGATGACTCCAAGGGGCGACTGAGATCCAACCTCCTTAATAAACCAGCTGTTCGCGATCATCGGAGCTACATCCCTGGGCTGGGACCATTTCTCTGCGTCCCAGCATTCCATCTCGGGGGATTTACATAACCACATGTGACATGTAGGATGCTGGGAGGCGGCGGCCGTGACAGGACAAATGACACTCATTTTTCAATCCTCTGCAAGGTGCTGGCGAGCTGGCATGCGGGCTGCATGCTGGGGTGGTTCTGTTGGGCCCGACAAGACCGACATGCGCTCGCAAACCAGGTGGGGGGGGTGGGTGCTGGTGCGGGCTGGGGGGGCTGCCCCACTTACCCGCCGTAGGCCGGGATCGGGGGTGGGGGGGCCGCGGCCCGGAAGGTGTTGTAGACAGTGCGGCCACGGCCACGCAGGTGCGCCCCTCGGTAGGCGGCCGCAGCGGTGGCGGCTGGGTATGGGAAGCCGGGCACTGTGGGGAGAGAAGAGACAGAGGCTGTCAGGAGCGGCCTTGCACCCCCCACTCCCCGCCCCCCACGGCCCATCTCCACGCAGGCCAAGGTCTCGCTCCAGAGAGGATGGGCAAGCGAGGCCAGAGTCCAGAGCCCCAGCGGTGAAGGACAAAATGTGGACCAGACATTCTTAACAACAGAGGAAAGGTTATTCCATAATGCTTTTTCTCTTTTTTTCTTTCTTTTTTTTTGCTTTTGGGGTTACACTCGGTGATGCACAGGGGGTTCTTCTTGGTTCTGCACTCAGGAATTACACCTGGTGGTGCTCGGGGGACCCTATGGGATGTTGGGAATCAACCCGGGTCTGCCACATGCAAGGCAAACAAACACCCTGCCCACTGTGTTATCGCTCTAGCCCCAAACACTTTTTTTTTTCAAAGGTAGATTGGAGCATAGATGTCCAGTGAGTTCTTTCGTCTATTTGTACAATGAGTCTCTTTCATCTTTATACAGATCTGTCATTGGCCCATCCATCCAGTTATCTTCCTATATCCATCCATCCATCCATCCATCCATCCATCCATCCGTCCGTCCGTCCACTTTCCCCATTTATCAACCTACCCATCCATCCAACCATCCACATCTGTGTCACAAATCCATCAGGGATACTCAACTTACCCTCCACCTATGTCTGTTCCTACCTTTTCATCATCCATCTATATCATGCATTATTTATCTTCCTATCATTCATCATCCATTCATCCATCAGTTATCCACCCATTTATCTATCTACCCATCCATCCACCCATCCACCCATCCCTCCACCTACACCTGTGCATCTAATCCATCATCTACCCACTATTTTGTTGCTGTTGTTTTGGGGCCCCACCCAGCAAAGCTCAGAGGTTACTCCTGTCTCTGCACTCAGGAATCACTCCTGGAGGTGCTCAGAGTACCCAACATATGGGATGTTGGGGGCTGAACTCAAGTAGGCTGTGTGCAAAGGAAGATGCCCTCCCTGCTCAACTATGTCTCACCCCATCGATTCACTCTTTATCCTTCATCTATCGTTATGTTTCTCATTATCTTACATTCTTCCCTATCTACTAGCTAAGCACTATCTACCTTCCCATCACTTATCAACTATCATCCATCCATCCACTGCTCTGTTAATTATCTATCTACGCTTCTGTCTCTCCATTCATTTAATCTGCTTATCTATCTATCTTTTTCTACTCTGGACAAACTGGCAGGCTCCCGAATGTAGCCTGCCCACACGGCAGAGTCTGGCAAACTCCCCGTGGCGTACCCAATATGCCAAATACCAGTAACAATGATGGGTCTCATTCTCCTAAAGAGCCTTGACTATAATCTCAGGGCTAGGATGAAGGAGACGTTACTGGGGCCTGCTCGAGGCAATCGATGAATAACAGGATGGTCGTGATTGTGACCGTGATCTATCTATTGCACAGCAGGTATGGCATTTGCCTTGCATGTGGCCGACCTGGGTTCGATTCTTCCGTCCCTCTCGGAGAGCCAGGCAAGCTACTGAAAGTATCCCGCCCACACAGCAGAGCCTGGCAAGCTCCCCATGGCATATCTGATATGCCAAAAACAGTCACAAGTCTCACAATGGAGACGTCACAGGTGCCTGCCCGAGCAAATTGATGAACAATGGGAGGACAGTGCTATAAGACAGTGGTACAGTGCTATCTATCTAACATCTACTCAGCAGATCGTCACAGTATACATAGAAATATATGTATATTGCATATTGTATACACAGTACACATTTGCATCTTGGAAATCCTCCCCTGCCTGGAGCGTCCTTCCTCCCCACTCAGGCCGGCTCTCTGGGCTCCCACATGCCTGGCTCTACCCCAGGCCACCACTCAGTGCTGCATAGGGCCCTCCAGGGCAGGAAGCACAATGGCTTTGTGTCAGAGAGCCCAACAAACTTGTTTGCATGTGTATACAGATCCATACGCCTGCACGTACATGTATGTACATGTGTGTGTGCGTACACGTGTGTGTGACCATGTCTGTGGCTATTGTGGTGTTCATTCCTCCACATAGAGCTATGGGAAGTAGACACCACTCCTATTTCTCTCTGTGGTCATTTTCCCTGGGGCTGGGCTGAAAGCAGTTTAGTGCTCTGTCCAAGTCCACTTTCGTTTATTCCTTACTCTGTCTTTATACACAAGTGGCTTGTGAGCCATTTTGGTCCGCGATGCAACGTTCCTGCAGACCCGGGAGGTACAGGAAACTCCTGGCCCAAGACACGGGCCAGGATCCCATGCCGGCCACCTCCCCAACCAGCACACAGTGTCGGGACAGACCCGCAGAGTCAGGATGAGTGTGGGTGAGCCCGCAGAGGGGAGCTGGGCTGCAGGACGCCATGGTGAGGGCCCAGGGGGGAGTGATGGCTGGCGGCTTTCATGGGGATGCGGGGAGTGACCCTTCTTCTCTGCTCTGGGGGTCACTCCTAGCAGTGCTTGGGGCTCCTGCGGCAGGGCTAGGGGTGGAAGCGGGTGCAAGTCCACACAAGGCGGAGGTCTGAATCCCTGAGCTCTCTCCGGCCCCTCCCTGGACGCTGCAATGCTGAATTCTCCTCCCCTGCCTGGAGTGTCCTTCCTCCCCACTCAAGCTGGCTCACTGGGCTCCCACATGCCTGGCTCCACCCCAGGCCACCACTCAGTGCTGCCTAGGGCCCTCCAGGGCAGGAAGCACAAGAGGGTAATGACTGCCCCCACCTCACTCTCAGCCTTTGGAGGTCCTTGGTGAGGCGGGGGGCACTGGGCAGTGGCCAGAATGGCAAATTCCTGGGAACCCTACATAGGCTCAACCTCTCCTGGGCCTGGTTTCTGCAAGACAGGAGCCCTGAGCTCCACCCACTCTTGGGTGGGAGCTTTGAGGCCCCCATCACATCCTGTTTGTCTCTGCATCCCCCTCACCCTGCTGTGCCAGGAGAGGGGGGCTGTGACCTCATCCTCTGGGGTTCTAAATCTTGCCCAGAAGGCGCGCGCGCGCGCGCGTGTGTGTGTGTGTGTGTGTGTGTGTGTGTGTGTGCCTGTGCCCGCATGTGCATCTGAGTGCACGCGTGAGCATACATGTGTGCATGTGTGCCTGAGAATTTGCATGCATGGGGTGTGTGTGCTGTGCCTGTGTCTGTGTACATGTGAGCTGCATGTGTGTGTGTGCATCTACGCATACATATGTGTGGTGCTTGTGCATATGTGCGAGTGTGCCTGGATGCATGTGTGAGCATGTATGTCTGTGCACACACCTGTGCCCCCCAAACCACAAAGAAAGAAAACAGAGGTTCCAGCCCCCAGGGCGTCACTGTCTGCTCCCTGGTGCTTGGGGACAGCTGTACAGGACACCGAGAAGCGTGACCTCGGCCTTAGATGCTGGGGCATGGCAGGTAGAGTCCCTCAGGATTCCCAACTTCCCTCTCCTGGAATCACAGCCTGGGCGCCCTCAGGCAAGGCTGCTTGTCTTGGGGACTGTCTGGGGTGTGGGGCCAAGACCTCTCCCCTCCCAGTCCCTCCCCTCCTCTCTCTCACCATGCGGAGAGTGCCAGGATTACTGAGCCCGGAAAACAGTGCCCTCCAGGCCGAACTAACCAACAAAACCTCGATTCTGTCTGTTGCTCAAGCCACACCGGGCTGCGCCCTTTCTCTCCCTCTGTCCCGGCATCCTAGAGAACCCTGGTCTGGGGGCTGTAGCTCGGGGGCTCTTCAGGGGAACCCTGCGTCATTAGCCCCGCACTCAGCCGCACTCAGGCGCTTCCCAGCTGGACCGAGGTGACACAACTGCCCCCAGCCCCACCCTGTGACCAGGCCCACGGGCTCAGTTTGCTTGGAACCGTCTTAAAGTTTGAAATCAAGCAGATGAGTGAGTGTCAGAGCAGGAAACTGCCGACCCCTAGATCAAAGAAACGCCTGGACCTGGCCAGGCTGCCTTATGATGCAGTTGGGGCTGGATTTGGGTGTGGATGGACGGTGGAAAGGAGGCTTGGGAGCTGTGGTGGCACAGGGATGGAGGGGAGAGCAGGGTGTCTGCAGGATGGGGCCTGGTCTGTGTTGGGGGCACCCCAGGCTCCTGCTCAGCCAGGGCATGCAGGGAAGAGGCCACACCCACCGCCCCCAGAGGGCCCGGCCAAGCGCCTGCAGGACAGTGGCATGGAGGGCAGAGCCGGGGTGGCGAGGGGCGCCTGGTGCTGGGTGCAGCTGCTGCTTCTGGTGCCACCTAGAGCTGCCCGGGTGCCTCCTCCTGAGTCCCTGGTTTCTCATGGTGATTAATGGGTGGCTCCTTCACTGGTCTCACTGCGCTCCCTCCCCTCCTCTGCAACCCCTCCCCCCTCCTCATTTCCTCTCTTTCTCCTTCTCCCTCCCTCCCTTTTCATCCCTCCTTCCCTCCATCCCTTTCTTTCCTCCCTCATTTTCTCCTTTCTACTCCACTGCTTCCATCTTTCTTTTGTTCCTTCCCTCCCTCCCTCCATCCCTCCCTCCCTCCCTCCTTCCCTCCCTCCCTCCCTCCCCCCTCCCTCCCTCTCCCTCCCTTCCTTCCCTTCCTTCCTTCATTTCTTTCTTTCCTCCCTCCCTTTCTTCCTTTCCCCCTTCCTTCTCTCCTCTCCTTCCTTCCACCCTTTCTTTCCCACCTCTCTCTACTTCTTCCTCTTCTTTCCCTTCATGCTTTCACTTACCCTGACCGCCCCCCCCCCCAGCAGAAGCTGCCAGGAGCCCCCCACCTACATCAGCAAGCAGCTGTGATACAAGGAGGTTGGGGGGCTCTTGAAGCTAGAACACAGGCTGAGGAGGGGGGTGGTCACCCTCTGTCCTGCTCACCAGGACAGGACAGGCCATGCTCCTGGGTCACTGTCCCAGTTGGTACAAGACCACTTGGTGCAGGAAGATGACAAGGCCCAAAACTAAGGCCGGTCTCCCTGTGCCATCAGCGATGTCCTTCTCTGTCCTCAAAGTGTCTCACCCTCAAGATTGAGCGGAAGTTCCCTCCGAGATGACTTGGGGTTCAGCGGGTTGCAGAGCACAGGGCCGGTCTTACCCGGGGTGCACGGGCAGCTATGCCTCTTACCCAACTGCCACAGGGGCTGGGGGGGCGGGGGCTCCAGAACATTCCCCAGACTCTCAGAGCATGCAACTGTTCAGTGGACATGTCACCGGGCAGCCTGCATTTCTTCCCTATTTCCTCCTCATCTGAATTCACAGGACTGGAAGATGAGCTTGTTTGCGGGGGGGAAGTGGGGCCAACACCCCAAACACACGCCAGGCTCAAGCACCATCTACACCATCCCTGGCCCAGCTGCAGGATGCCTGGTTGTCCCCGGCCTCTCTGTCTCCACAGTCACATCTTGAATCGGGACCAGAATCTTCTCTCCTCAGGCCACGATGACAAACATCCATTTTAAGTGCTAACATGACTGTGAGTCAGACTTCCTTCAGCTGCACTCAGACGAGAAGGAACTGACTGATTCTTCTCACCTGCCCCCCAGGGGCACAGCCCTCACAGATGTTGGGGCATCAGGACAGGAAAGGCAGAACTGAAGCAACAAACCAGAGAGAGGTTTCAGCCTCAGTGTCAGCGAAACCCAGAGGGTTCTACCCTCGGACCTGATTGAACATTACTACTGGGTCTGATAGTAACCTTTCGTTTGGTTCAAGTCCTCATGTCATGAAACCCTGCTCCCCTTCCCAAAGTCTGATGCCAAGAAACGGGTGATGGCGTGAAATAAATCCCAGGCCACAATGCCACAAGGAGCAGCTTAGCGTCCTCTCCATTTCCGGAATAGAGCAAACCATTGTTGCCGGGAGTCATAAACCTTCCACCCTGTCATCTGCTCTCTGTTCTCGTCTCTGCTAATTGGGAATCGTGTTAGCAAAGGCACCAGATTTCAGGCATTCCTGAGCCTCAGCGTGGGAGTTTGAGCTTGCTGTTTCGTCCTAGTTGGACTTCAAGTTAATACATATGCAAACCGACCAGCAATGAGGATCCAAGGAAAAAGGTTCGGGTAGCTTGGTGGGTGTGGCATAAATCCTTAGTTCTTGGCACAAGGGGACAAAGAAGAAGAAGAAGGACAACAACAACAAGAACCCAACGCAGGTTCATTATATGGGAAAGGCTCCCTCTTAAACTCTATCCAGCATGAATCAAAGTGAAAAATCTGGTATCACTGCAACGAAAATTGGATTTAGCTCATAAGCTAAAAATGACTTTCTCTCCAAGAAAACAGGGCAAGCTCTTCAGGAGCAAATACCAATTGTGCATCTTGTTGACAATTCCACAGTCTCTGCCCACCCACTCCCAACCTTCAGCTAGACTGATGCTAGAGCCCCCGGGGAGGAGGGCGTAACAGAGAAGCCCCTCTCTGCTCTAGGTCAAGGCGCCCAGGGAGAAGGGACTTGGGGGTAGAACAACAGACCCCACCGTGAAGAGCTTGGGTTCAAGGCCAATCAGCCATTGTCTCCAAGGGGAAGATGTGAGGGTGTATTCACCAGCGAAGTGGGCTATTGACCCAACTGTCACTGGCTTCCTGCTTGTCTCCCCTTCAAAGACACCCCACCCTGGCCCTTCTCCTATGGGATCTCTGTGTTTCTAGTGACAGACTCGCGAGTTTCCTGCCTTCCCCCCGACCCCACCTCTCTTTTATGAAGATGGTGCTTACCTTGGAAAATAAACACAAATGAGATCATCGCACCAGCCGGGAAATCCCAAGAGAAGACACACAAAACCAGTGGAAAATACTTGAGGGTTATAAGCTGCATATTACAGTTTTAGAGCTCGGGGAGAAATGGAAGAGGAACAGATGCAAAGCCCGACAGGGGGCCAGGTTCTGCATCAAAGCCATAAAAATATACAACCGCTTTAATGGGCAATTATTCTTTGCATTTGGGCGCTGGGTAGAATTTGCATGAGGTTGCCAGATGCCCTGCAAAAGGTGTGCGGTCAGAATACAGGGTCTCTCTCTCTCTCTCTCTCTCTCTCTCTCTCTCTCTCGCTCTCTCTCTCTCTCGCTCTCTCTCTCTCTCCTTTCTCTCTCCCCTCTCTCTCTGCTGAGTCTTCCTCTCCCTTTGATTCCCACCATCACCCCTACCTCCCCCGCCCCCACCACACACACACACACACACACACACACACACACACACACACACGGAGTTTGAATATCGGAAGGCAAAGAGTCATGCTTATTTAGGGATGGGATTGCTCTGCAGGAAATTCAGAGGAGGAAAGAGACACTTACACAATTCTGGGGGTGCAGGAACGCTTTCAACAGCAGGTTCGTGGTGCTGCAGAATTCCCCTTGGGGGAACACCCGTTCCATGCGCTGGACCATAAATTAAGAAGTGGTATATAATAGGTAACATACCAAGGTGAAATGAACAGCCAGCTAGAACTCAGAGGCAGAGCTGAGTGTGATCTACACCCCGGCAATGAGTCCCGCAAACAAAGAAAAAAAAAAAAAAGAAAAGAAAACCCCCAACACAAGGGATTCTTTTTTTTTTTCCCAAATGACAAAAATGTTTGCTTTTTTTCCCCCCCGGAAATGAATCTCATAAAAGATACATCACATTGATTGATGACACCATTAGGTCACTATCTTTAAATGACATTAAATGGAACGCTGATTTTGATGGAGTATATTTAGTTTTAGGTCAAAACAAAAATGAAAAGACTTTCAGGATTTAAAAAAAAACAATTTGGAAAATTCAAGGCTTGTGTGTGGGGGTGGCGTTGGGGGGGGGAAGAAAAAGACTGAGGGGTTCTATTCAGTCATCTGCCAAATTAAAAACAAAATGAAACCCAAACCCAAAATGGCCTCTTCATTTGTGGGATTCTCAGAGTCGCCTAAGTCGCATTAATCCCTGAGACACACATTTGGGATCAGTTCCTGCTTCCTTTAAAAATGCACGTTGATATTAAATACTGCTGTTTAGAAGCAAATGAATCTACATTTTTGGACAAACAGTTTCTTATAGGACAACCTCATTTGAAATGCATTGAATAGGAAAACAAAAATTTCTAATTAATGTACAAGTCTAATCACCATTCTCCACATGGAAGAGTAATTTTTCACTGTTCATTTGCTCGGTTTAATCTCAAAACTGACATAACACAAGCGCAATGTCCTATAAATCTCCACTCATTTGTTTCTTTAATATTCATATTCCATTGAACTGCAGTTTCTTGTTGCTGCAGACTATTACAACTTGCAAAAGTGTCGATAAAAATATTATGAAAGGCAAGATGTGTTTCTTCCCGGCTGTGCAAGCCATTTATGTCGGGCAGAGACAATAAATGGCTCGTGGCTGTTCCCCCCCAGCCTGCTGCTTGGTGGGTGATTAGTGATTAATTACCTGGCAGCAAATTGACATGGCACCAGGAAATTGACACAGCCCTGATTAATTAACTTTTTATGGGCGGTAGTTACTCACAAAACATTGCGCACCATAATTGAATCTCTTTACATAACGTCATGGTACAAAAGTTTTAGTCAAATCCAAATTAGCCAGAAGTTTCCAGGCTGTTCCAGGTCTGATTAGGATATGTTGAAAGGATTGGCAAGGACTTGAACTTGGGGAGAAATGTACGTTTCGGGGGGGGGGGCGGTGGAGGGTGATAATGACATTCTAGTGGCCTGATGGGCTGCGACGGGTCTAGGGCCCTGGCTCTCTCTGGCCCTGAGCCCTGCCTCCTTGCAGTCACACCTGGAGGCTACTTCTGGGGTGCTCCTGGGGATTCTCCTTCCTTGGCCAGGTCCTTCAGGGGTGCACTGTGCTCCCATCTTAGCCCCATCTCCTCCTGGCCAGGCTTGTCCTCGACACATCAGCCTCTACGCTTCCTGTCCACTGGAGGCAGCTGGGTGACACAGCTGGAAGCTCTCTCTCTCTCTCTCTCTCTCTCTCTCTCTCTCTCTCTCTCTCTCTCTCTCTCTCTCTCTCTCCCTCTTCCTCTCTCTCTCTCTCCCCCTCACCCCCAGCCCAGATACTGAGATGCCAGAGAGCCACAGAGGAAGGTCTGGGAAGCTTGTCCCAAGAGGTTCACAGCTCTCCCTGGAGACATCCTGGTGACTAAATCTGGTGCTAATACTGTCTTAGCACCAAATGACTGCCTAGTTTGAGGCAATGCAGAAAATCTTGATTTCACAATAAGATAGACTCTGCACCCCACAGAGGTTCAGTGACAGCGGGGGTGGAGGGACAGCGGGTGGGACTTGTAAGGAGGAAACTCTGGCCTTAGAGAAACTCTGGTTGGTGGGGATTTTTTAGGGAAAAGGATCCCAAAAAATGCAAGCGTGAGATCTAACCCATTGGGCAAAACCCATTCTGTGGGGGAGGCCCTTCTGCCGTGTGGAAGAGAGCGAGCGGGGCTGGAGGGGTGTACGGTGGGTGGCAAGGGTGCTGGCCTTGCATGGGGCCAACCTGAGCTCATCTCCCACATCCCGTAGAATCCCCCGAGCCCTGCCAAGGTGTGAGCTGGCAAATGAAAGAAACACGGGCTTGTTATTCATGTTTGCTACTCAGCAGATTCAAAGATAATACACCAACTTATAAAAGAGAAGTTGGTACGGTAGTTTCCCAGGAGGTGGAATTGGGAGTGATTGATGGTTTTTTTTAACATTCCTTTCCTGGTCTTTATTCTGGCTAGAGCGTCTCTCAGAGAGGCAGTCACCAGCCTTCTTTGGGTCTGCCAGTTGAGGGTCTTACCAGGCCTTAGTTCCTGTATCTGCAAACTTTTTGCAGCCTTGGGACTCTTGGTGTTTTTATTTCCCACGAAATTCCATTGCATGGAGGCCCTTCCCTATCTAGCTGCCTATATCACTGGCATCCCATATGCACCACCATATGCATCATCCCTGAGCACCACCAGGAGGAATTCCTGAGCCCAGAGCCAGAAGTAACCCCTGAGAACACCTAGGTGTGACCCAAAAAAAAAAACAAAAATGCACAGCAAAGTCTGGCAAGCTACCCGTGACGTATTCGATGGGCCAAACACAGAAACAACAAGTCTCAAAATGGAGACGTTACTGGGCCTGCTCGAGCAAATCGATGAACAACGGGAGGACGGTGACAGTGTTAAAAGCTCAAAGACCAGCCAGAGCTGATGCTCCACTGGCCTGGGGAGGAAGGGAGGGAAGGGCAATGTGAGGGAAAGTTCAATGTCCTCCAGCAAGAGAACCAGGATGAAGGTGTCTCAAGTAAGCTTTGGGGGAAGCTTTCTGCCTCCCTACTCCCAACTCCTCTGGAGGGTCTTGGACCCCCACCCCCACCCCAGCATACTTACTGCCAAAGCCTTGAGTCCCTGACAACTAAACGTGACTAGGACTTTTCTCCAGGATTTGAAGAAGCTCATCATATATGGTGGGAATTCTGCATCCCCCTCCCACCGCCGGCCTGTACATCACTGTTTGGTGAGAATGTTTCCAACAGTTCCCTTATACTCACAACATGGTAAGAAATAAACCTCTTCTTTGGGAAAGGGAAAAAATCGGAGTCACAGGGCTGGAGCGATAGCACAGTGGTAGGGCGTTTGCCTTGCACGCAGCCAACATGGCCGACCCGAGTTCGATTCCTCCGCCCCTCTCGGAGAGCCCGGCAAGCTACCGAGAGTATCTCGCCCGCGCGGCAGAGCCTGGCAAGCCACCCGTGATGTATTCGATATGCCAGACACAGTAACAACAAAGTCTCCAATGGAGACGTTACTGGGCCCGCTCGAGCAAATCGATGAACAACGGGAGGGCCTTTTTTTTACCTTTACATTGAGAGAGGAGGAAAAGAAGACCCAAATGTAATGAAAACACAGGGATGGATTCAGAGCAATGAAGTGACCGGCCCCAAGCAGAATGTTTTTCTGACTGAAGAACATAAAAATAAAATCTTGGGGACCTGAGAGATAGTAAGAGTGGAAAAACACTTGCCTTCCCCTACAAGGTCTCCTGGGCCCCCCCCAGAAGTGATCCCTGAGCACAGAGCCAGGAGGAAGCCTGCCAGATGGGGCTCAAAAATTGGGAGAAAAATCTAAAAGGCCCCCACCAAACCCACAGGACGAGCCTCATGCCAGTGTGCATTCTTCATCATCCAAGCCTTGGCCATCCTGGAGGAGGACGGCAGGCGGGGCTCTTCACTAGCCGCCACGTGTCCTGGTTTCTTTGCCACGCTAGCCATGCCCTCCCCTCTCGGGCACTCAGGGTGGGACTGAGGCAGCACAGACGACACAGGCGGGACATGCAGCCTAACTTGCTGCTCTCTGGGTCTGTCTGAGAACCCCCGGCCCCAGATAGAATTTCTCTAATGTCTTATCCTGCAAAATGAGAGCAGATCTCTGTCTCAGAGTGTTTAACGCAGCCAGGGGCCAAGGTGGGCGACAGAGAAAGCCCTGCCCGGAAGGCAGGTCCTGCTCTGGGAACAGAGGGATGTGCTATCACCCGGTGCTGGACATAGCTTGACCAGCTCAGTTTCTCTGGCCTCCCCAGCAGCTAGGAGCAAACAGAAAGCTAACAGTCAAACGCATAATGACTTTATCAGGGCATCAGCACAGGCAAGTAGCTATGGTTGAATCATTGCTGAATGATTCGCTAGCAGTGACCTCTGAGCACAGAGCCAGGAGTAAGTCCTGAGCAACACTGGCATGCATTCCCAGCGTTCCCCCGGGCTGCAGGGGTCTGGGGCCCCAGGCAAGTGATAAACGCTTTGCCCTCGATTCCTGACGATGAACCGGGCAAGGCCACAGTCATTTACACAGGAAGCTGGACAGACAAATTCAAAGCCGACCGGAAGGGGGTCCCCGCACACACGGACCCGAGGGTGGCCAGGCCAGAGACGAGCCTGTCTCGGGACTCACCAGACCTGACCCCTGCAGTGACCACTTTGGTCAGGCGTCCAGCCCCGGGGCTCGCCCCAGACACACACTTGGTGCCCAGAGAAGGGCTGGTGTGCACGAGCCCGCCAGGACTCTGAGACCCCCACCAAGGCAGGGGCACTCGGACCTGCCACTCCTTCTCCCACTTCCCCAAATGTGTTTTAGGTTCCTGCGGGACCCTGGAGGCTGGTGGTGTTTGCAAGTGCACCCTGAGAAATAGCTCCATGCTCATTTCTCAGCAAAACAGACCCAAACCCCATAACGAAAGCATGCAAGCAAATGTCAGAGCACCACGGGGACGTGCAAAGGAAAGCCAGGGGATCTGGGGTGTGGGGGTGTGCGCTCTGGCGCTCAGTACCCTGCGGGGGGACCCCCCTCCCAGGCCACGCATTGGTCGCATCCATGACAGCACGAGGAGAGACGCTGTAGCACTGGGGTCCTCCCTGGGGAAGCCTCAATCCTAGGCTG